GATATCAGATGAGAATCACTGCAATGTCCTGCTCTGGATTAGAAACCTACCAACTATAAGCCACCCTTCCTTTCTCCCTTCTTCCCTCTTAACTTAGGCCAATTTCTCCACCATGCTCTAGCTCCCACCCCAGCTTCCTACTTCTCCAAAAATCTTCACTATTAATATCCTTTCTTTCTCCTCTATCTCTAAACTCTCTCAGTTGTTTCTCACCAAAGATGTAATCTCTATCATCTCTGAATACAATAAAATAAAAACAGTTCAACCTTAATTTTAGACTGCCCTATAGTTTCTATTCCTTCTCCTACCCTTCACAGCCAAACTTAAAAAGTTTCACTCCCCAATCCACTTTAATATGGCTTGGTCCCCAAAAAATGCTCCATAAGGTCATCTCTGACCTCCATGTTACCAAAACCAATGGGGCACTTGTAAGTTCTCCTATTAATCAGTGTCTCAGTAGTATCCAACAGTTAAGTCTCTTTTGAAACATTCTCTTTCCTTGGTGTTTTTAACATAAACTCTCCTGGATTTCTCAAACTCCCTGGCGACTCCTCAGGTTCTATTCTAAGCTCCTCTTCTTGCTGAAACCATTACATTTTATTAAATAGTGTCTGCAGGACCCTCTTGGGCCTCTGTTTTCTCACTATATGGCTTCTCCCTGTATGTTCTGATCTACTCCAATGTCATCAATTACCATCCATATTCTTTTTTTCTTTTGAGACAGAGTCTCACTTTGTTGCCCAGGCTAGAGTGAGTGCCGTGGCGTCAGCCTAGCTCACAGCAACCTCAAACTCCTGGCTCAAGCAATCCTTCTGCCCAGCCTCCCGAGTAGCTGGGACTACAGGGCTGCGCCACCATGCCCGGCTAATTTTTTTTCTATATATATTAGTTGGCCAATTAATTTCTTTCTATTTATAGTAGAGGCAGGGTCTCGCTCTTGCTCAGGCTGGTTTCGAACTCCTGACCTTGAGCAATCCGCCCGCCTCGGCCTCCCAGAGTGCTAGGATTACAGGCGTGAGCCACCGCGACCTGCCTCATATTCTAAAGACTTCCAAATATATATTTTTAGCCAAGATCTCTTGTTGGAACATAAGATTTGCATATTTAACTGACCTCTCCACACTGCATGAACTACCACGGACTCCTCAAATTCAACATGCTCAAAAATTAATTTATTATTTTTCCATCTCCTATTATCACTCCATTTTGTGAACAAGGAAAGCAAGATGCAAATAGGTTAAGTAATATGGCTTCAGTCTTAAAACCAGTGAATAGCAGAACTAGGATTTGAACTCATTTCTATACAATTCTTATTTTACACTGAAGTACCTCAGTATAGCTTGTTCTTCAAAGCCCTCAGAACTGCCTAGGCCTTTGCTCCTAATCACTACTCTTCCCATTTCTTTCTTCTGATTCCCTGGTTCCAAATTTCAACTTCTCCAGTTCTCTGGTCATCCAGGTCACGGTTTTTCTCAGGTTCCTCAGCCCCTCTACCCACTTTTACTAAAACCACAGACTGACCCAGTGAACGTAAGTTGAGCTCTTCTGTGATCTTGGCCTCCCTAAGCAGCTCCTCCTGGGTCAGTGGCCGCTCACAGTGGGGCCCCTTGCGCCGCCGTGACTGGCCTTGCCTCTCCTGTACCCGAAGGAATGTCTGTCGTGTATGCTCAGCTGTAGACTGACGCATGGACTTCCGACCTGAGAAGAGTCAGATGAGAAGAAATTTTTGAAATCATGTTCACTTATTTTACTTATTTACCTATATATTTGGAAATAATTTCAAGCTTACAGAAAATTGCAATAATAGAAAGAATATCAATGTATCTTTTATCCATATCACCTACTATTAACATTTTGCCCCATTTGCATTCTGTGTGGTTTTTCTTTCCTGAATGATCTGAGAGTAAAGTTGCACATTTCATGGCCTTTACCCCTAAATACTTCAATGTGTATTTCCTAAGAATAAGGATCTTCCTTAAATAACCATAGTACAGTTATCAACATCAGTAAATTTAACACCAATACAATATTTTAACTTATCATCATATTGCAATTTTGTCAATTGACCCCAACATCCCTACTTACTGTCAGAGCCATCATCCTGTAATTCTAGAGGTAGCAGTGCCTTCTCTTCCCGGGCCTTCTGAGAGCTACCAGCTGGGGTGCTGACCTTTCGAGGTCTCAAGCTCTTGAGAGGCTCCTGGGGACAGATTGGAATTAGACACCATGGAATAGAAAAGATAAGGAGAAAGAAGATGAGGATCTTCATAAGAGAAAACTAGCATTGTAGGAAATGGGTCTGCTTTGGGGAGTAGAGACCTGATGAAAGGAAGAATAGAAATTAAAGAAATCCAAGAAAACCAGGATTCCTATGCACCTTATAGGCTTTGGTGACTACTCGGCGCTTCCTTCTTGGCTCTTCTGCTTCTCCATCGCTGGATGGTTCGTCCCCTTCATCAATGTCAAAGTCAGAGTCCACCTCATCTTCTGTGTCTGACTGGTCCCCTTGATACTCATCGTCTCCTGATTCCTGAGGACACAGGGAAATGAAGGCTGGCATGAGAATCATTCATGTCCCTTCAGGAGGGAAAGAATCTTCATTTTCCTGATAAGGGCTGCCCTACTCTCCTTCCTAATCCAGCCCTTCATATTCCTCAAGCAAGATGCCTTTCCAGCTAATGGCCTTTGGCTCTAGCACCACCACCACCCCCTTCTAACATTAACTGATTGCCCTTTACCTGCAATATACCGTGTTAAGTACTGGAGAACAAAAAGGTTACGGTTTGCTTTAGAGGGCTCACAGTCTAGTGAAGGGGACAGGAAACAATCTTAAAAAGAAGTTGAAACACCAGATAATATATAAAGTATCAAATGGCAATAAAATGTTACAGGAGATTGGGGAAGAGGCATACTTGCTATGGGCTGGTGGTATGAGAAGACCTAAACCCTTGAGTTTCATTCTTTAGGTTAGGGGTCAGGAAACTTTTTCTCTTAAGGGCAGATTAAATCAGTGGACCAGCTTTGGCCCACAGGTTGTAGTTTGCTGAATCCTGCTTTAGACTCTAAAGAATAAAGAGGACTTGAGCCATGGTTTAAAACACTGATAGTATTTAGACAGCCAAGAGTGAAGAGGGAATCACAGACAGATAGAATAGCAAGAGTAAAGGTGCAGAAGCAATAATGTGTACAGTATATTTATGGAATAAGGATTTAGACCTAAGTAAAGCAGGTTTATCTTTGGCAAGATGCCTCCTTTTTAGCTGACTGCCTTTGGCTCCAGCACAGCCTCCTTCCAACATTGATGCCTTGTAGAACTGTAAGATCTGAAAAGAAGGTTGCATTGGTTTATGGAGAAACTTAAATGTAAGGCTAATAAACTTATGATTTTAACCTGCAGGCCAGTGACTCTCAATCTTCTCTATCTCCTTACTTGTCCCAGAGTTAATTATCATTGTTGAGGTAAACTAAAGTTACTGAGAGAAATACGTGTCATTCCTCAGGTGTGTTGGGACAGAAAAACAGTTGAGTACTGGTACTATGGATAATGGAGAGCCACTGAAGATTTGAAGGAGGGGTAACAGTATATACAAGTGGTATTTCAGAAAGCTCTGGAGGTGGATAGGCCAAAGAACCTGAAGTACTGCCTAGACCTGAGGTGATACAGTTTAGGGCTAGAATTGTAGTCCCACTGGAAAGAAAACCAGAAAAAAACCACTTGGGGGAGGGGGAGTCAACTGGGCCGGGTGGCACCTCAAACATGTGGCTCTCTTCAACCAATGATGCAAAATAACAGGCTAATCTTGGTACATACGCTGCCAAAGCAAGCAATTAACACAGATGGTTGACACTCCAAGCCAGCCAGAGTTTAATCTTGTACTGATGACCATCATTTCCTCCCAACTGATGTTTGTGAAAGACAGCCTGGGAACACATTAATCCCCTCGGCTCTAATCTGGTATTAAGCCATATCACCAGAGGGTAGCAGATCAACCACACATTAGCTTAGTGCCCAATCAAAATGCTTTTTGCTAAATTATGGATTTGCTACCATTGCTTTGGCTTTTTTTTTTTTTTTTTTTTAGACAGAGTCTCACTTTGTTGTCCAGGCTAGAGTGAGTGCCGTGGCGTCAGCCTAGCTCACAGCAACCTCAAACTCCTGGGCTCGAGCAATCCTTCTGCCTCAGCCTCCCGAGTAGCTGGGACTACAGGCATGAGCCACCATGCCCGGCTAATTTTTTATATATATATCAGTTGGCCAATTAATTTCTTTCTATTTTTAGTAGAGACGGGGTCTCGCTCTTGCTCAGGCTGGTTCTGAACTCCTGACCTTGAGCAATCCGCCCGCCTCGGCCTCCCAAGAGCTAGGATTACAGGCGTGAGCCACCGCGCCCAGCCTGCTTTGGCTTTTATTGAAAGTCATTAATAGACATGACTGGATATTTTTATATCATCTACGAAAGTCATTATTTTATATACATCTTATATAATGATAAATTTTCCCTAGGATTTAATGCTGAATAAGTTGTCACTCTTGAAGAACACGTATGCTTCTTTCTTACTAAAAAAAGAAATACAGAGTTTGGCTGCCAGGAAGCTCACAGTTAAATTTAATATCAATTGCTATTACCATTTTAGCTTAGGTTCCTGGTACAATTGCTTCTGATCTGTCTCTATTTTTACTGTTTCTACTTTTTGTTTATATTGTAAGCCTCCTTAAATCCTTTTTGGAAGCATGAAGGGTACATATTAAATAACGACTCGTAAAATGACAAGAATAGGAAAATAGCCTTAGAGGAGGGATGAGAAAGTTCTATTTTAAACTAGTTGGTTAGGGCTGTGTAAGTAATTACCCCCCAGACAGTCATCAAGTCCTGTGGCTTCTATTTCTTTAATTTCTCTTTTTTTTGAGACAGAGTCTCACTCTGTTGCCTGGGCTAGAGTGCCATGGCATCAGCCTAGCTCACAGCAACCTCAAACTCCTGGGCTCAAGTGATCCTCCTGCCTTAGCCTTCCAAGTAGCTGGGACTACAGGCATGCGCCACCATGCCCAGCTAATTTTTTCTATATATTTTTAGTTGTCCAGCTAATTTCTTTCTATTTTTAGTAGAGACGGGGTCTCGCTCTTGCTCAAGCTAGTCTTGAACTCCTGAGCGCAAACAATCCTCCCACCTCAGCCTCCCAGAGTGCTAGGATTACAGGCGTGAGCCACTGCGCCCGGCCTCTTTAATTTCTCTTGAACCCGCCTGTCCATGTTTCTCTATCACCACTGCCCCCTTCAAACCATTCTCATCACAGAATATTTTTTCTAAAGTACAAATTTGATCATGGAACTTTGGTGACTCTTCATTCTTCTGGATGAAAAGCAAAATTTCTTAATATGGCTGGCTCATGAGGCCCTACAAGTTCTGGCCCATGCCTACTCCCTCCAGCCTTACCAATCTTTATTCTCCATGCTCTGGAGCAGGCATCCTCAAACTACAGCCTGTGGGTGGCCCACCGAGGACATTTATCCCGCCCGCCTGGTGTTTTTGCCACCGCTGCCTGTCCTGCTTAGCAGCCAACTCGTCCAGGGCCCACAGTGCACGTGTGGAATGTGCACCGCACTCTTCGATGGCCCTCCAACGGTCTGAGGGACAGTGAACTGGCCTCCTGTTTAAAAAGTTTAAGGATCCTGTCTCTGGAGAATGACAGTAGACTTGCAGGTGCCAGATGAGAATCTCAATGCCTTTTACACTCTGCCCCACCCCCTCCAGGGACTATCGTTTTTCCTCCCCCTGCTTTTCATCCAGCCAAGAGTTATTTGTCATACTGCCTTCAGCTTAAACATTATCCCCCTAGGGATGCCTCTCCCAACCAACAACTCTGGTTCACATGTGTTATGTACCACTCTATGTTTACCTATGGTTTTAGTCCTTATCACAAAGTATTTTAACTGACTGTTAACCCAACCAGTATCCCCACTGGGGCATGGAACATTTAAAGACAGAGCAGTGTTTTTTTTTTGTTTGTTTGTTTTTTTGAGACAGAGTCTTACTCTGTTGTCCCAGCTAGAGTGCCGCGCAGTCAGCCTAACTCACAGCAACCTCAAACTCCTGGGCTCAAGCGATCCTCCTGCCTCAGCCTCCCAAGTAGCTGGGACTACAGGCATATGCCACTATGCCCAGCTAGCTTTTTTAAATATATTTTTAGTTTGCCAATTAATTTCTTTCTATTTTTAGTAGAGACGGGTCTCACTCTTGCTCAGGCTGCTTTCGAACTCCTGACCTTGAGTGATCCTCCAGCCTCAGCCTCCCAGAGTGCTAGGTTTACAGGCAAGAGCCACCACGCTCCGCCCAGAGCAGTGTTTTTAATATTCTCTGTTTCCCTAGAACCTATCATAACCTACCACCGATGGCATGCTCTGGCTGTTCAACACATATGTAATAAACAGATAAATTCAATCAATAAAAATTAAGCAAGTGCCAGCCTAGACCAGACGCTGAACGTAACAGCGTTCAATAATGTTGAACAAAACAGATCTCTAACTTTATAGACTTTACAGTGCAATAGGAAAATATAAACAAGTAATCAAAACAAATCTTAATTACAAATTGAAATATGTTCTATGAAAGAAATAAATGGAGACTTTTTTAGGATAGTCAAAGAAGAGTTATCTAAAAAAAAATTTAAATTGAAACTTAAAAGCTGAAAAAGGAGTGGGCTAAACTCCTCTACTTCTGGAGCAGTTCATTTGTATACCTTAGGTGAATAACCCGCCAGTGAGCCAAAGAGTATACATACACTGAGTGACTACTATGTGCACTGCGTAATGTTAGATGTCGGAAGTGCGGTGAGAGATGCAACTAGAGAAATACACAGTCGGTTTCTGTCGTACTCTGGGGTACCTCCTGAGAGCTTCTTCCCTGACCCCTCCAATCCCATCCAGGGCTCTCCCTTCTAGAAATCAACTGTATCGCCCCGACTCGCCCACGCCATCTGCAGTTATCAGCTTCTAGAGCGCCCCTCCATTCCCCGCCCCCTTCTTCTTTGTCCAGGGTTTCTCCCTTCAGGACTCCTCTTCGTTTCCTTCCCTCCCTGTTCCTGGGCCCAGCTCTTGCCTCTGTGAAACCCCCATAAGTCGTCTGGTAGAACTCATCTTCCTCCTCTGCCTCCAGGAGCCCAGAAAGCCGATTCCCAGCGGTCTTCCGGGGGGCCCGGCCCCCAGCCAAACTCATACCGCCTACCGAGACTGCGCTGCCACCAGCAGCCCCTCACCTAGCTTTGTTCTCGGAGCTCGGCGCTCAACACCACTACCTGCGGGTGGCCGCCAGCGGCGGAAGTCGAGCGTCCACAGGCAGAAGCAGCAGAGTGTCGAGGAGCTCCTACTTCCACCCTCTGTGCCTTGTTCACTCTTCAGTCACGCCTCCTGCCCTGGCACCTGGCCATCTGGCTTGCTGAATGAGTCCATTCTGTCACACGAGGATCCCCCCACAGCCCTAAGTCCAGAATTTGGGAGTCAACAAATTTTGTTTTAGAAGAGGTCATTTTTCCTCTTCTCCAGTCCGTTTTCTACTCTACTGCCAGCAGGAACCTTTCTAAAAACCCAGACTTTGTCCCTCTTCTTTTTTTGTGTGTCATTATCTACAGGATAAAGTTCGAAATCCTCGAGGTAGAAAGCATAGTACTGTGGTTAAGAACACAGCCTTGGGCCGGGCGTGGTGGCTCACGCAGCGCCTGTAATCCTAGCACTCTGGGAGGCCGAGGTGGGCGGATTGCTCGAGGTCAAGAGTTCGAAACCAGCCTGAGCAAGAGCGACACCTTTATATATATATATATAATTAGCCGGGCGTGGTGGCGCATGCCTGTAGTCCCAGCTACTCGGGAGGCTGAGGCAGGAGGATCGCTTGAGCCCAGGAGTTTGAGGTTGCTGTGAGCTAGGCTGATGCCATGGCGCTCTAGCCTGGGCAACAGAACGAGCCTCTGTCTCAAAAAAACAAACAAAAAAAAAAACACAGCCTTGGACCTTTATCCAAAGGAAAAGAAATCATAACATGGAAGAGACGTATGCAACCTCCTGTTTATTGCAGCGCTATTCACAATAGCCAAGATATGGAATCAACTTAGGTGTCTAATAACAGATTAATGGATTTAAAAATGTGTTATATATATACAGTGGGATACTATTCAGCTATAAAAAAAGAGTGAAGAGGGGAGGAGGGAAAGGGCATTTGTTGAAACCTTAAAATCTGTACCCCCATAATATGCCGAAATAAAAAAAAAGAGTGGAAAAAAAGAAGAAAATAATAAGAAAGAATGAAATTCTGTCATTTGCTGCAACATGAATGGAACTGCAGGACATTATGTTAAGTGAAATAAGCCAGGAACACGTAGCTCATGCCTGTAATCCCAGTACTTTGGGAGTACAGGCAGGGAGGATCACTTGAGGCCAGGAGTTCCAGACCAGCCTAGGCAACAGATTGAGACCCTGTCTTTGAAACAAAACAAAACACAACAAAAATAGCCAGGTATGCTGGCACGTGCCTATAGTGCCAGCTACTCGGGAGGCTGAGGCTTGAGCCCAGGAGTTTGACGTTGCAATGAGCTATGCTGATGCCACTGCACTCTAGCCCAGGCAACAGAGCAAGACCCTGTCGATAGATAGATAGATAGATAGATATAGATAGATAGATAGATAGATAGATAGATAGATAGATAACAAGTTGAAAAAGAAAAGAACAGAGTCTTAATGCCAGCCAGACCTGAATTTGAGCATGAACCTCAAGGTCTTCTAGCTATGTTACCTTGGACAAGTTCCTTTTCTTTCCTGTATCTCAGTTTTATCATCTGTAAAGTGGCACTAATAATAATACCTATCTCTTATTTAGGATTGTTGAGAAGATTAAGAGATATAATCCTTGTAAACTGCTTAGCACAGTGTTTATTAAGCACGTAGTAAACGGGCTTTACTACATGCTTTAAATCACGTTTAGGAGGTGATTACTAGTAACATGACATTCAAGATCTTTCATAATTTAGCCTCTCTCTGTCTTTCTAGCCTCACCTCCTGCCAGCCACATCATTCTGTTCCAGCATCACTCCCCCAACACCCAATTCTCTGTCATGCCTCCATGCTTTTCCTTCTCCTTAGAATTCCTTTCCTTTCTTGCATATTTGGCACAATTCTAATTTTATAAGACAGTGAAGTCTTTCCGAACATCTATTCTTCTCCTTCCAGGCACAGTTCCCATAATCATAGAGATCATGCCTTCTAGATTCTCTGGAATAGTTCCAATCCCAAATAGTCTGCTGTATTGTCAAGATCCTGTTCCCATTTTTTATTTTGAAAATATAGTTACCAACCCATAGCCCTTATACAAACTCTATGATGGCACCTATTACATTTTATTCTGATGATTTATGTGTCTATTTCTCTCATTAGTCTGTGATCATTTTGAGGGCAGGGGCTTTATCTTCATCTGTCTATACCAGGAACTCTCTTAGTGCCTGAGATATAGCTGGGGCTAAATAATCTTAACTGAATGAATGAATGACTAATTGAATGAAAAAAGTACCCACACTCTTATTCTTGCCTCTACATTGTGTCTGCCAGTCCTCAGCTCCTTCATTTTGACCTTAGGTACTGTTCTAAAACATGAAGGATGCTTTAATAAAGGTATTTGTGCATGCTCAAATGCATTCAAGTCTGTATGCATGGTCCTATTTTGAGGTCACCAGATTGCCTCCCTTCCCCAAAGTATGTATTGGTGAACTCCCTTTTCCATTTCCTTCGGGGCACCAAGCCAAGGTATCCTGCTCTGCCTCTGCTTCCACGCCCTGCCACGTCACCCCATTTCTGCTATGCTTGGAATGTTACTGGGGAAGAGTGGCTCCATGACTCAGAGGGCACCCAAAGGATTGAGTGGGAGTGACGACAGAAACAAAGTTTAGGAGGAAAAGATAGGAGACACCAGCTTCTTAAATATCCTAAGCTCCACTTTTTGAATTTTGCCTTCTTCCATTCACATATTCAGTAGCCATGTATTGAGCATCTCCTCTGTGCTAGGCATTATTCTAGATGCTTGGGATAGAAAAGTGGATAAGCTGTAATCTTTGCCCTGAAGAGTTCAGTCTTATGAGGCAGACAACAAGTAAAAAGACTGACATAATACAAGGCAGTAGGTGTAATAGTAGTCATTTTCTGATACACAAAGAAGGGAAAAACACCCCTAGGAAGCTACATAACAGGGATTTCTCCTTTTAGGAGGGCTGAAATCAAATTCACAGATCAGTTTCCACAGAGAAGATTCCCCTGTTTGACTGTCTTGGTCACTCAGGGATTTATTTGTCTATTTCCAATTTTTGAATCAGAAACAGCTTTACCTCTGAACCAGCTGACTTCTTTTTAAATTAAATAAATTTATTTTGTTTTATTATTTAGAGACAGAGTTTTGCTCTGTTGTCCAGACTGGAGTGCAGTGGCACAATCATAACTCACTGAAGCCTTGAACTTTGGAGCTAAAGCAATACTCCCACCTCAGCCTCCCAGCCTCCCAACCTCCTAGGACTATAGGCATGCACCACCACATCCAGCTAATTAAAAATTTTTTTGTATAGACAGATTTTTGCTATGTTGCCCAGTCTAGAGTGTAGTGCTTATTCACAGGTGTGATCCCATTACCAATCAGCAGGAAGAGTTTTGACCTGCTTTGTTTCTGACCTGGGCCAGTTCACCCTTCCTTCAGCAACCTGTTGATCCACCACCACCACTACCAGCAACCCTCAAAGGAGATCACTATATTGATGCCAAACTTGGTGCAGACACCTACTGTGCCCTACAGCCCACAACTCCTGGGCTCAAGCAATCCTCTCACCTCAGCCTAATCGCTTGGATTACAGGCACAGAACACAGCACCCAGCAACACAAGCTTATTTTCTGAAGTAACTCAGGAAATGGTAGCAACACAATGCCTCTTCTGGAAACAAGGATAATTTATTCAACAATTATTTATTTTTTGAATACCTATGAGCCAAATCTGGTGCTGAACAGTATACCCCACACTAATTCCTATCCTCTGTAGTTGGGTAGAGTGTATAGGCACAGACAATCATAAAATACTTCAACACTACACAATTCCACTGCTGAGGAATTACAAATGGCAATCTAATCATTTCAAGTTTGTCTACCTTCAGTGCCCAAAGAAGGATGAATAATCCAGCAGGTGGCAGCAAGGAAACAATTATTTCAGATCTTGATGAGGGAGGGATAGAAGGCTAAGGTAAATGTATGGGGACAGTCTATGGATGCTTGGGTCCTACGTTCCCTTATGAGGACCGAGAAGATATTTGGAAAGAGGATAACCACGACATCTTGGAGGTTGCAAAACCTAGGATTTTTTTCCATTCCTCTTTATTTATTCATTCCACAAATTGAGCCCTTACTAAGTACACGTCAGAGACATTAGGCTGTCGAATATTACAAAACATCATATGCCACTAAGAACTCCTACCAGCCCTTTTCTGATTTTACTGCCATGTTTACTATTTAGTTTAACGTGTGTGCATGTGTTACCTTCCTCCTTAAAAGCATTCGAAATAGATCTATGTTTTGTTTGCCATAAGCACAATGCTGGGCACAATGACGAAGTTCAGTAAATATTTGATAAATGCATAAATGAAGACCTATCAAAAAAGACCACGACCTGGGTGCGGTGGCTCCCACCTGTTATCCTAGTAGTTTGGGAGGCCCAGGCCTGAGGATTGCTTGAGGCCAGGAGTTCAAGACTAGCTTAAGCAAGAGTGAGACCTTGTTTCTATAAAAAAAAAAAAAAGAAGAAAGAAAGAAAAAGAAAAATTAGCCAGGCGCAGTGGCTCTTGCCTGTAGTCCCAGCTAGTCCCAGCTATTCGGGAGGCTGAGGTAAGAGGATCGATTGAGCCCAAGAGTTTGAGGTTGCAGTGAGCTATGATGTCGCTGCTGCACTCCTGTACTCTGGCTGGGTCAACAGAGTGAGATTCTGTCTAAAAAAAAAAAAAAGAGAGAGAGAGAGAGAGAGAGAGACGACCGAAGGCCACGAGACCATATCACAACCTTCCAGCCATCCAAGCCCTTCTACTGTCAATTATCTGTGCTCAAGAGGCATGGAAATATGGAGATACACAGAGAAATTCTAACATTCTGGTCTTCATACTAATTCTCCTGGGTTTTAATAAAGTACCCTGTAGGTTGTGAATCCTAGTGGAGATCTGAAGACCTGTCCCTGAACAGACCGTAAGCTTCTTTCCTGGGCCGTGAATTTGAGAGGACCGGCGCGGCCACCTCTTATG